ATTAGGAACACGTTGGATCACAGTTATGTGAGGAAGACCTGCAGGCTGAAATCACTCCATGAATGCAATGTGCATCATCTTCCTAATGAATTATAACGCTGGAAATGAACTCCGCTGGACCTGAAGCACGCAGAACAACGGGGTGGATCTATGAGTTTCTAACTGAGCTGATGCTTCTGTTTGTCTCTGATCACATATACTGGTATATGTGTGTTTATTGCATTTTGTCTGGAATCTAAAAGTAAATTTATGGATAAAATCATGTTAAATGCTGTAGTTTATCTCTTTTCTCCCTTTGAGTAGGTTAAAGGGATGGAGCTGCAGCGTCTTTGTCCTAGTTTGAGTCCTGCAGTCGCTAAAGGGAACTTTAACATGATAAATGGATGCAGAAAATAATGCATTCATCCCAGATTTTTTTAAAAGAAAAGGTTAACAATCACATGATGCAGCATTCCATATCAAAGATCCCATTGACAGTCCTCCTTTCCACTGGCTCCATCTGAGGCCTGACCTTTGATCTGATTAATATCATCATCATTTGTGCGTGAAAGGCAGGAAACAAGCGCTGCACGAGGAGACACCTTGATTCCGGAGCGTTTGCATTCGCCACCTTGTTCTGTTGGATATAGGAGCGATTTACCAACAAGGCTCTCTGATTGGACGGCACAGAGAAGCAGGCACTCTATTGCACACATGCTTGCTGTTGCCCTCCCCCTCCCCCCTTAGATAATGTCACACTCTGCTCGTGGCACTAGAGGGCAGTCCTCTCTGTTGCTTTTTGTTGTGAAGGAGGCGTCACTGTCACAGCAGGATTCACACCAGTTTTTTGAATACACACACACACACACACACACACACACACACACACACACACACACACACACACACACACACACACACACACACACACACACACACACATCCATAAATATCCTGCATACATCTCTGTGGATAACACTAACCCTTTCAAAACGAGGCATTACTGCATCTGCCAATTAAACATGGACTCTGCCGTCAATCCTCAATTAAAAAAAACTTGGATTGCATTTGGACGACGTACACATTAAATTCAAAGTAAATGAATGATGATGTCCATGGTTCAAAGGATACTCTCAAAAACAGAGGAGCTTAATGCTACATCAGAAAGCAACATTAACAATATAATTTCATAATAAATAAATTAAAACCAACTTGATTTAAAGTGATAATAGGCAGATGCTTGAGTACACTCATCATTTATGAGGTTGCCAATTAAAAACATGGGACAATAAAACAAGTAACACATTTCAATGGTAATTAGAGATGAAAATGATTTTAAGCAGCTACTGGAGGTAAACGGCCATATTGGATTTCTGACATAAGCCAGCAGATATTAGACCACAGCTGGATTTAAATGGCTTTTTTATTTAATGGAGGAAATTAAAAACAAAAAGCTTTAATGGACATTAACAACAATTTTATTCTTTTTTTCTATTAAAAACGTTCTCATTGGAGGGGTGTTTAATATAAATTTGTTGTTCTGGAGAGGAGCCAGTTGAGGTGGCTCAGGCATCTGGTTAGGATGCCTCCTGGACACCTCTCTGGTGAGGTTTTCCAGGCACGTCCAATCGGGAGGAGGGCTAAAGGAAGACTGCAGGGATGCTTCTCGTACGGCCAGGAAACGCCGTGGGATTCCCCCGGAGGAGCTGGCCAAAGTGGCTGGGGAGAGGGAAGTCTGGGGCACCCTGCTTAGGCTGCTGCCCCAATAATCCACCTCCAGATAAGCAGATGAAAATGGATGGATGTTGTTCTGGAGCTTTAGTTTTGCATAAAATAATGAATGGAGTGAATATGAAATTAGAAAAAAAGAAACAGTGCTTCATGATGTAAATCTTGGAGTTTGAGTGCCAGTGTCAGTGTTGTCCTGGATGCCAACCCTGAGTTTAGGCTCACTAAACTTTCTTTGTTAGGCTGAAACAACAATAAATGATGTCTCAGTGTTTCATCGGCTGGGTAACTGCAGGGTAAAATGATTCAGTCAGTCTGTAATTGGCCCTCACTTTAGATTCTTACTTGTAATTGGAGGTATCACTGGAAAAAAAAAATCTAAAATGGGGTCAGAAGGGGTTAAGCTGCGTAAAGTGGTCTCTATTGGGCGATTTATGGTACAAGGTCAGGTCAAAAATGTAAAGTATGGCCCCCACTTCCCACAATCAACATCAGGATGGGATCACCGGTGCTGAAAGCCCACTTTTGTAGCATCAACCCTTCAAACTTCTCAGTTCTTCTGAATGTTAGAGATGGAAGAGGTGTGTGTGTGTGTGTGCTCCCCTCCATGCTGCACTGTGAAGAAGGATCCACTGTGAATAGGCCCCACTCAGGAAGAATAAAGGCACCTCTCCACTGGTTTGTTTTGGAGGCTGTCTTATTGATCTGTCTGCCTATGAATGAATGTGTTGGCCCAGTTTTTCCCGCTCATGTGGACAATGCCACTTGGCCTGAATTAACTGGCCTGATGCTATTTGCAGAGAATGGCCTGCACTGAGAAGAGTTTGTGGGTGTTTTGCCACATCATCCCTCTCATAACCTTTCCCACAGAATGGAGACGGTAAATGTGGAGAAGCAAATCGTTTACCCTCAATGACCTAAATCAATGTTAAAATAAGGACATTCAGCATTTAATCATCCAAACTTCATTAATGTGCACTGGAAAGCTTGAAGGTCCAACACGACAAAAATAAGTTCTCTCTCTTCAAAGCTAGGGCAGATGTAGACTTGAGCCCTTATTTGATGGAGGGAAATAATATGGTTTTATAAATTTTTCTGCAGGGAATATATTTAATTACATTCAGGTGCGTTTGACAGGGGATGCTATCCTCAACCACATTTTTAGAACGCTTTCTGGCAGAAGAGCACCAATAAAAACAGATTATTTTAAAAATGCAAATTGTGTTGGTCTGTCAGAATTAGACCACCTAACGTCACCTATCCAATGTATTTATATTCAAAACAAATTAACAGGTTTTATTTTTAAAAAAGAGATATAATGCAAAATTCACTATTTTTATCCTGTTAAGCTATAAACACTCCAAACGTGAAAAAAACACATCCACCCTTTATCTGTCAGTGTTTTAGGAATCATAAACTTAAAACAAGCCGTTTCAAAAACTCCCCGTTTATGATGTCACAAACAGGAAAATTAGCATTGAACCTCCTCTCATGTGCAAGAGAGAGCTACTGCTGGAGGAGGAGCAGCAACTCTATTAAAAGCCCCTTTCAGATATCGGAGCTTCTCAGCTTATAGCAGTCTGAGTGTGGGATGGGTGGGCGTGGCCAAATCCAGCTTGTTTTCTTAAAGTGACAGAGCCCTGAAACGGCTCATTCTGGAAGGTACTTACAACAAAACTGCTGAGATTGCTTGTTGTAGGAGGGATCTTGTGCAAAAAAAACTTCGCAAACATGTTTTTTAAAGACCATAGCATTATATTAAAACCTAAGAAAAAAAGACACAATAGAGATTGGAATCACACGTGATTACAGGTAGCTTTCTCGGATGTGGGCAGACATGTTGACGGCCTTACGAGTGTAAACAAACCATAAAAACAAACAGTACGTTGCAGAGAAGAAGCTGATTTGGGTGAAAGAAAGTGTTTAACATGTTAAAATCTCTAATTAGACATAGCAAATACAGGGATACATGGACAAAATCAGCACTATAAACTGTTTTGATCAATATGAAAGACCCAAGACTGGAGCACTGACGACAATTTGTTGCTGCCGCATTTCTGCATAATGAACAGTTTTGGCTTTCTTGTTTGTGGTGTGAGTGGATGTAAACATCCAGATGAGAGGTAAACATTTCATTTGTTGGTTTTTCTAGTAAAACAATCATAATTCCACAGATGAAATGTAGCAGAAGTTTTGTTGTGTTTCAGTGAACCCTCATTATCCTACCAGTATGTGTGCAGCCTATGTGTGTGTGTGTGTGCATGTCGCGGCTGAAGGAAATAAACGACATCCAGTATATCATGCTGCATGGTGGCGCAGTTGTTAGCACTGTTACCTCGCAGCACGAAGGTTGCAGGTTTGAAACTCGGCTGCGGCCTTTCTGCGTGGAGTTGCGTGCTCTCCCCATGCATGCGTGGGTTTCCTCCGGGTACTCCGATTTCCCCCACAGTTCACAACATGCCCTATGAGTTATAAATTGTAAGTCGCTTTGGATAAAAGCGTCTGCTAAGTGAATAAACATAAACATATATAAAAAGATCGTACACCATGTGAAACTTACCAGAATGAAAATACTCTGCAAGATGATGTTTGGTCGCCTTACAGCTGTGATCTGATCTAGCCGACAAGACTATCTTTGGTTTCTGTAGCTGTGCCTCCAAGCAGCAAAACGGTGAAAAAGTAGCCCATTTTCTATCTTTACCCCCATGGCGATCACGTGTTGCACCCATCGACATATATACATATATATATATTGCACCCCACAACACAGCAACAAGTTACCACAGTTGCGTAATATAACCAGTCAAATGAATAATAGATTAATTTAAGCTGCAAGAACGAGACTTAGCGCAACGTTGTCAGTAGTAACAAGCAACATGTAAGGACTTATAGGCCCCAATGTGGAGGCGGGGTCATTGATGACGTCACAATCAAGAACTCTATATGTCACCTTTAAATTTCATCTGGTACAGAAAACCAAAGGAAGTGCCATGTTTTAAGGAAGACAACATTAGGAGCTTTTAAATTTTTAGTTAATGCTTTGGATTTTTCAAAATAAAAGCACATCCTTTTTCTTCCAAAGGCTGTAAGACAGACAAGCAAGCCACTCGCCTCTGGGCACGCTCATTTCCGTCAGTGCGCCTCAGGCAAGCTACGGCTACTGTACATTGTAGCTCATCACCACCAGTGTGTGAATGGGTGAATGACTGTGTTGTGAAGGGTCTTGGGGGGTTGTAGAACTCTAGAAGGTGCTATACAAATACAGGCCGTTTATAATTAAAAAAGGACAAAAGTAAATAACATAATTTATTAAAACAGAGGAGAGAAAAAAACCTAAAGCAGAAATAAATACATGAAAGAACATTTTTCATTTTCTTTGTGAATCCAACGATGAGTAATAAACACTTTCAGTGGTAACAAACTGAAAATATCTAAAGCCCGTTTAGGCCAATAAACTCTAAAATAAGACCAACAATTTATTAACTATTCAGAACAAAACTCTAAAGTTAATTTAACCCGAACCTGATTTGTCAAAAAACATTTAAAGAAAAAGTGATTTCAGCCATCATGGGCACATAAACAATAAAATCAAGCTTGTTAATAAAATCTGAAATGTTTACAGGCCTCAACAAAATAAATAGTCAAACAAATCAAAACATAAAAGTAATCAACAGGACAAATTTGATTTCGATCGAAAAACAAATTAAAGAAGAAAGAAGAGTTGGTGAAGTGTGTGGGTGGGGGTTAAAATTAACACAAACAAACGAATCGATGTAAAAAACATTCTAGAAACTAGGCAGGATTAATACATTCATAATGTGCATCTGCCCCACAGTTAAGACTCAAAATCATGATGATATGTGGAGGGACTGCCTTTGCTTGTACAGAAAACAAATCATTTCAGCAGATTTACACAACAGGAGTGACAGAAAAGCACAAATGATGTCATCTGTAATTATTTAGGCAACTTGTACCCTAAATTCCAGAAGAAACTAGACAGTCACGCTGACCGCTGACTGTTTGTGCGTACATTTTAGTCCCTTCTGTGCTCCAAACTGAACGCAAGGCAGCAGTTTTTGTAGTTTAACACACACTTCAGCACAAAACAAAACAAACACGAGAGCAGGCTTGAGTTTGTCGAGACTTGGCACCGTTTTAAAACTCCAAACTAACAAATCTAAAAAAAAAAAACAACTAAATATTGCAACCAGCTGCAGAATATAAAAGGTGATATCTGGTTTTTGACAACAATGCCCTTCAGGTTACAACAGAACTGCTCTCCCTTTGAGTCAGACACTGCTCAACAACAACTTCCATCTTCAAATAGGAAAACGGCTCAGGTACAACTACAAAAACGAAGGTTAAACAACAATCTGAACTAGTTTGTCCTCTATGGTGAGCTCAGTTGGATTTAAATAACTTCAAGTCAGTGAGAGGTCGCTTCCTCTTGCTCCCCTGCAAGTACCATTTCTTTTCATTTTTTGCGATAAAACTTTATTTTTTAAGCTTATAGTGCTTCTTATCTGCAGGGATATCCGCAGAATGACACACACTCCCCTCCCAAAAACAGGCTTGCTGGTCCTTTACTAGAAGACTGTTTATGAAACACAAACTGTGATGTCATCAGTAAGAAGGGCTCATCACGTCTGGTAGGCATCGGTTTCCTCAATGTGTAACAAAAAATAAACAGCTGAGATGATATTAAATAACCAATACCTAGTTTTATTTTTTATTTTAAATGCAGCATCTCTAAAATGCATCACTGGTAGAAAACAAAAACACGATTACCCCTAAATCTCAGGCCAGTGTCTGCACGTGTTCAGTCATTAGTTCCAGAAACAGAATCAGATTACCAAAGAGCTGAACAGAACTATAAAGACGCGGTTTCATTTTAAGTTAGAAAAGGTGAGAGATTATTGGTGGATTGGACTCGGAGCATGTAGTCCTTTGGGATTAATGACCCTAAACGAAGCTTCTGTCCTTGACTTCTAAGGGAACTGAGTGGAACTGCCACACCACATTTCAGCAAACACAATTAACTCTGATTTAACACTTCAGAGTATTTGAAGCCATGACACAGCTCTCTTCTCATTTAACCGGTTTACATTTTGAACCTCTGCTCGCTCAAATGAGAGAAATCACGTTTGTAGAAATAACAGAAGCTCACAGTCGTCTGTGGAGGAAGCCCTGAAAGGAAACAGAGAGCTCTGATGATATGATCAGTCATTCAGAGGTGGTCAGAAACAGGGAGGAGGAAGGGTGGAGCTCTGGAGCAGAAGCAAAGTTCCCCCACTTAGTTCTTGGTGACCACAGTAGCTCTGTGGGGGAGCGGATGCCCCTCTTGGGTTGCTGATGTTACGCTGCCATTAGATACTGATGATAGAAGAGGCCAAAGAGGGAGGTGGAGAAGAGACATCCCGCAATCCACCAAGTGAAGAAGGAGAAGAGGCCCCGGAACAATAGGGGGCTGAAAACTGTCCTCAGACCCCCGAGAGCCATTGAGATTTGGGCTACCGGCGCCCGGGCTCCTGTTTCTACCACTGAAGCTGGACTGGTGAGTCCTAATGGTTCTGCTTCCATCAAAGAATCAGACTTCATGTCGTGGGTGCACGGCAGGTCCTCTTGAGGATAGACTAACCAGAAGTGACCACCTGTTGTTAAAAAAAAATTAAGAAAAAGACAGAAATTACTTGATGTTATCAACAAATCCTCCAAACGGTAAACAGGCTACGTGAAAATGAACTCACCTAAAGTTTTCAGCAGCAAAGTTGTGTGAAGCAACATCACCAGTGGTGCCACATACTGTAGCGCAACTACACACGAGTAGTAAAACACATGTGCAACCTAAATAAAATGATCAGATGGTTGTCAGTGCGCACGCACACACACACACACATACATACACACACACATACACACGCGAGTGCGGACGCACACTCACACACGCGCGCGCACGCACACACACATACACACACGCGGGCGCACACACACACGCGCGCGCACGCACACACACATACACACACGCGGGCGCACACGCACGCACACACACACACACACACACACACACACACACACACACACACACACACACACACACACACACACACACACACACACACACACACACACACACACACACACACACACACACTCTTCATAAGGAAACTAAGTTTGTTTCTAGCTTTAATCACATTATCCCTGACCCCGGCTTTCCACCAGACGCGCAAGCACAACAAAACGTCCCTGAGCGGTAGTACAAATAGGTAATAGCCGATGTTAAAGACTGATTCGGAGAAAGAACCGGAAGTGGAGCCACCACCATTACTGCGGTGAGTTCCCAATCACACAGCTGTAGGCGCTGTGTGTGAAGCAGGTGTTTGAAAATAATCAGTAAGAAGTGGAAGTTGTTTATTTCGTGAACATGTCTAGGAAGGCTGGGAGGACGTGTGCAGTCATCAGCTGCTCCAAATACAGCAGAAAACTCCAGATTTGGAAAAGAATCTTATGCAAGATCCACTGGTGTGTGCAGGACCTGCCAGTCAGACCCTGCCTGACAGCCTTCACTTTGTACTGGAATGCTGCGATGTGGCCGCAGCAGCTCTGTCTGCCTGCCACGCAGCCACACAACAACCTGGCAGAGTAAAATATGCCCGACCTATACTGAGCTCAAGTAATTTTGACCCTCTATCAGAGACCTGTAGTTGCTGATTGGTCATCATACGCCAGCCATTCCATAAAGTATTCTTGAATATCTGATTTTTGTGTCACACAGCCTGCCCAGTGTCCATGATTAAATGTCACGGTTAGCTTGTTAACCTCTGCACACGTAAGCCACATGCACAGTGTTTAACGGTACAGTCTGTTATCTCTCTATTAATATTTTCTGTTTATCACTAAAACAACTGATTAATTAATAAATTAATGTTAGTATTCATTCAATATACCTTCATCACTGGAGGCTACTGTCTAACAAAACCAATCCAGGTATTAATGATGGTGTCACTAGAGGGTCAGTTTACAATGACAGAATAATGAATGAATCATTGACATGTGTCACTGCAGCAATAGTGGCGCTGCAAGATGGCTACCTACACAAATCACTCGCCAATTCGGTCAATGGTCGACAGCCGTGAAATGGCACGTTATAGATGCATCTCGGAAGTGTCGGGTCACGTTGTTTTGTGTGGTATTTTGCATGCTAAGCTTCCAAAGTGTGTCAAACTCAGCAGCTCAGATTGAGCCAAACAGGATATCATCTAGAAACTTTCAAAATAAGACACGCGCAGATTTACAGTTTTATTAAAGTTCATTAAAACTGACAGAGTAGCGCCCCCTTCAGGTTAAACCTCTGCACTACATCTGAATTAGAATCAGCCACCACTATTGGCTCAAAACTGATTTGTGCCGTCATCCAATATTTGTGAAGTGGCTGTGCTGCCCTGGACCGCAGCCGAGTCTCGGCCATGCCTCCAGCTGGCTCGGCACCGGTTGCCACAGCAACTCGTGAGCCAATACAAAATTATAAGACTCAAAGCCTCTCGCCTCCTCCACAAAAACTCTTTCTTCCTTTCCTTCCTCTGGTGAAGGAGGTGGAGAGAAATCCTCCAGACTAGAAAGCTTGCTGCAGTTTCTCTGTCCGAGTGGTGTGTGTGTGTGTTTGTTAACGGCTCATTTCTCTGATGGAAAATCACTGAGCTGCTGTGGAGTTAGAAGTGGGAAGCTGTCAGTCACTGTCAGTGCCACACTATCGGTCCGCCAGGCGACGCCCCCTTTCAGTGCGTTTTTCAAGCAGGAAGTTGGTGGAGTAAAACTTTAGTAGGGGGGTGAGTTGCTCTTTAACTAGTCAGAAAAAAGCCTCTGTAGCCGAGTTAAAAGTAACAGAAAATGAACCACAAACCTTTTTGGATACACGCTGCCATCTTTCTCCTCGCTTGTTATCACGTGAACTGTTGAAATCACGTGTGGTCTTGCAATTTTCCAGGATTTTGTGACCTTGCGGGACCAGCTGCAGGGAACGCTTTTGCTGCCAATTTGTGTCTGAAACGCCGCTCCTGGTGGGAATGGATGCTTCGCTGAACTCACGGGTAAAACGTGTCTATTATGTTACATGCCACTCACGCATTCCAGTGGAAAGCCCAGGTTTAAAGACTAAATAAACATTTACGCTGGCGGCATAGAAATAATTATCTAAACCATTTAAAATCAATGTCTGCCTCATTTCAGAAACTCTTGTTTTAATGCAAAGAAACAAATTCATAGTCACCATCTTCTGCAGGTCAACAATACTGATGCGTCCTGCCTCCTTCTTCATCTGGTCCACACTTTTCTGAGCCAGGTTGAGGTAGGCCTGCAGCTGATGTCGCATCATGGCGAGCCGAAGCATACACATCAGTATAATAACCCACAACCTCAAAGTATCGTACGTCTGCTCAGTCATCCTGGGAATAATGAAAATGCAGGAATGAAAGGAGGAGAAATGAAAAAGGATGACAGTTTTTTTTCTGGTCCATGGACCCAGCACGCCGCGTAAGTATCATCAGGATGGTAAGGAGAGACCCCGACACAGAAAAGAAAAGACGAAGGAGACGACGAGAACAGCCACAAACAGCTTAGAGGAAAAGGCAAGAGAGGGTGAAATTGAGGTATAAAAGGTGAAAGGAGGGTATTGTAACATGAAATTAAACCTAATCAGGTTTGACCTTAATGGTATAACAGTCAGTGTCAAAGGGGGGGGAGTTAGATGTGTCACAAACTTGAAACAACAAGTCAAATATACCACCTTATAATTAATAAGATACATTTAATTCTTTTAAATATGTCACCTCATCTATGAGCTGCTTATCCTGACGCTCCACAGTAAATGATTTCCTTCCAACTTGTTTTTCCATCACTAAACATCTAGTAATATCGATTCCAACACAGATATAAATCACTTTCGCCTTTTTCTAGAGAAATTGGGATTTTTTGTGTACTTTTATTACATTTGAACATGAAATACAAACAGGTGTAATGAATAAAGCTTCTAAAGCTACCGCCCTACAAACAAAAGAAAGAGATTAAAATTAACATGAACTTTACAAAAAGTGTTTGATCTTATCTATCAAGATTCATTAGGAGATTTCAAACAACAGTAAATACTTAAGCAGAGAATGGACATTTTACTCACAATGGAACGCTGTCCTTTCCCAGAGAAGGGTTCATTATATAGTCCTTGGTAATCGGTGTCACCCACAACAGGAGGATGATGAGGGGGGACAGGAAGTTGATATGAAGCAGAGTTCTACAAAGTAAGTAAAGAAAGAAGATAAAAGATAAATAAGCTAAAATTCCTCCTCAGAGTCATCATCATTCTTTATAATCCAGTTTAACAAAAAAAAAAAGACCACCTCACTAAATTCATGTACTTTTTTAAATTTGCAGCCACCAAACTCATTTTATCAACGCAGCCGTCCCCATGACGGCTGAGAATACAACTTAGGTGCATCTTAGGAGGAGCATGGAGATAATCTCTGCTAGTGACTGGCCTCAGGGCATTTATGAGAGGAAATGGAAAAGGAAGCCATTTTGAAGAGTTTGCTATGCCAAAGTGGATTATGTGTATGCAATGTGCTCCCTGCTTGGCACCTCCCTATCTTGGCCAGAGACATGCCACCCAGTGAGTTCAGAAATAGAAATATGACCAAATTGAGGATTTCTATGTGTAGGTCTCCTCTCGTGCCTGACATACCCAGGAAAGTCTAAAGACAAGTAGAACTTTAGCACGCTTCCCTTCCTGACTGTCAGAGATGGTAGATTTTCATACCTGAACACTTTTCTGGTGGCCAGTTTTAGCAGATTATATTTTAAGGCCTAGAGAAAATCAAATGTGGATAACCTCGAAATCTTATGTCATCACCGCCATGATCATCATCATCAGGGCGACGGTAAATGGCCTGTATTTGTATTGTGCCTTCTTAGGGTTATACAACCACCCAAGGGTCATTCACCCATTCACACACTGGTGATGAGCTACGATGTAGCCACAGTAGCCCTGGGACGCACTTACAGAGGCGAGGCCTGCCGAACACCAGCACCACCGGTCCCTACAACCACCGCCAGCAGGCAAGGTAGGTTAGGTGTCTTGCCCAAGGACACAACAGCAGAATTCTTTGGAGGGAGCTGGGATCGAACCTGCAACCTTCTGATTACTGGACAACCCGCTCTACCTCCTGAGCTACTGCTGGGAATAATTTCCTCCACAATATAGCTTAAGTGTGGAAATACCCATTGAAATGTTGTTGAAAATGAAGTCAATGATGCCTGGTTGTGGAAAAATATTGGTAGTTTCATGAAATAAAACCATAAGAATCTGGTCTAAAATCCATTAGGTGCAGGTCTACGTCCGGGCGACGCCATATTAGACACAATGCTTCCTTCTACGGAAGCCCGTGAGGACAAAAACACATTTAGTGATTTGTAACAAGAGGTTTTGAAACTTCCATCATTCATAAACATTTTCTGTTTTACACAATTACCTCTTCACTCATTCCCAGTGATGAAAAGCAGTCTGATGTTCTTGTCCTTTTACTGGAGGTTGAACAATCCGACGAAGTACTTGTTCGAAAACTGCGCTCTCAGGGATTTTTGACCCTAATGGCCATCCATTCTTAAGATCTTACTCAAACACAAAAATACTGTTTACTTGCAATTATTTAGGTATGTACTGCCCCCCAGGGAAAATACACGCCGTCACTTTAAGTGGCATGAAAAAAGAAACGTTCAAGCCAACTTGTCTTCTTAATTTGTTGCAGCAGCTTTAGCAGCTAAGCTAAAGCTAAGAAAGACAATAACACTTATTTAAATGCGATAATGAACAGGAAGAGAATAATACGGCTAAATACTCACTGTGTAAATTTAGATGTGGTTAAATTAAGTGCGTCTAGGTGCATCTGGGCCAGTCTCAGGCCAGGGAAAGTTAGAAATGTTCCAATCAGAGAGCAGAGCAGCGCCAGAATTAGCTTGAATGTCAGTTTTGATATGGGGCCCCTGACAAAGAAAGAGAAAATACATTAGGACAAATTATTATTATTACACAATTAAAGTTTATTTATATAGCACTAGACTGGAGCCTAAATTGGAGTTTGGTCACAAACAAGAGTTGCTGAGGATGTTGGGAACCTAACCAGTTACCAACATTGTGTTTGATAGTTCAGCACCATGGACAGTTCATTTAAATTAAGACGAATGTAGAAAAAAAAGATCAAATAAGTAAGATCAAATAAAAACTATCAGGAACAGATTTTTACATTTATTTTCTTTGTAGCACTTAATCCCCTCAACTATAGCAACCATGCCAAGTATCAATAAACACACTTACTGTGACTCTAAGCCCTGGTAGTCCAGAAACTGTTGAGCGCTGTCAGAAAAGTTTGCGAAACCTAAAAGTACAACGTGCACAAGTGACTCAAGGCAACCGGGAGTAAAGAAGTAGCTGTTTCCAGATCAGTGTGATGGGGCTGAAGGATCATGAAACACAGACCTGTCTCCAGACCAAACTCTAGGTAGTTTTCAGTGACGATAAGGATGGCCATGGCTTTGACGAAAAAGAAGAAAGCAAAAGTAATGCAGAGTGACCGTGCGCCTCCCTCCTCCAGCCTGAAGTAGTAGGCAGTTAGAGAGTAAAGTGTCTTACTGAGGGAACAAAGTCAAGGAAATATCTTTGAGATGTGCGCTGACCTAATGGGTGAATCTGAGCGGAACTGTTTTCTTCTTCAAATCCAGCAAATGACTTTAGAAAACCAAAAGTCATAGCCACAGATGCCCATTTACCAGACAAAATCAACCATCAGAGGAAAGCTAGAGAAGAAATATGAGCTAATTTCCATGAGTTCCAACACTTAAAGAACCCCAGTGTTCCTTTGATATCACAAAAGGTGAATGGGGCAGTAGAGCTGATCTCCAGAGTAAGAGTATTCAGCATGTCATCAGCGCAGTAATGGGAAAACAGAAATCAAGCTTTCCATTAACACATATATTGAACTGACATAGCTTATCTTTATAGTCCCATTTTATCAGTTTCCCAGCCTGTCCTTCCCATCAAGCAAATCGGTCAGTTGGGGGAGTGAAAATTGGGCTCCAATCTGCCACACTGGCAGAAAATAACACCCCGTCTGACCACGGTGATCCAGGTCCAAGCATTAAAACTGGAAAGATTGATCCTCTGGGCAGTGGCAAGGACAATGTATATTATTTAATCATCATTCAGCATTACAAAATAACAGCTGGAAGATAAATGCAATGGTGAGATTGCCTCTTGCCATCACTGCTTCATGCACACAGACTGACATGATTTGAGCTCCGTTAGACAAAAACAAATTATCTCCCTGCATTTGAACCTCAGCATAAAAGTAACTGAAATGTATGAATACACAGAGGGTGCAGGAGAAATCTCCATAGGCACATGAAGTACCAATACACCATATGTTAGCAATTTAAAGGGCGGTTTATAATGGAAAATCGAACAAAAGAGAGAGAAAAAAAGGGCACTCAAGATGTAAAGGATACATAACAAAGGCGAGTACAAGCAGGCACCAGACCACACTGATGTTCATCTCTCCTGAGGGCTGAGCCACACTGTAGTAAAGCTCTGTTATCACATAGACTGCACTGGCTGCAACAGTAAAGTCCACCAGCCACTGGAACTCTGGGAAGTAGTAGAGCGCTGAGGGCAAAAGAACAGAACGCTCAGATATAAAGAATGCTAAAAGAAACAGTGTGTACAAAAACATTAAACCATTAGAGCAGGGGTGTAAAAATCAAACACACACTGGGCCGAAATGAAAATCTGGGACGAAGTCGCGGGCCGAACTTAATATTTTTTGAAAAAGTGACGGCAAATTTGCACATTTTCTTTATATGCAATTTTGAACTTTTTAATTAGGAAACAAACTTATTTTTGCATTAACACTGAATGTGGAATAACCAAATTACACACGAGCAAGTCAATTTTAAATAAAACACATCAGTGGTATTCATTACTTGTGGTATATTCAGCATTTTTAAAATCTATTTAGGATTTATGTTTTCTTGTTGTTTATTCATTTTTCTTATTTTTATTTTCCTTTTTTTTGTCCTGTAATAAGTGTCATCGCTGCTGTGACATCTAGCTTTTCACACTGAGGAACAATGAAGGGATTTTCTATTCTGTTCATCTATCTGCAGCCTTTCCACTTCCTGTTTTACTGTAGGTTAAATCTTTTCTCACGGGCCAACAACAAAATAAAAATATAATTTTATCTTAAATGAAAATGCAATATCTCACCTGTTAACTTTCATGTTTTGGAGCAGAAAAAGAGCATAAAACCAAATATTTAAAGCTCAGTTTGCTCCACTTATTTACTGTGATGCTCACCTGTTCCAGCCAGATACCTGCCTGAGCTGAGGAGGAGACTCCTGTTGTTTGTTCATCTTCATCATAATAATGACAACATTAGATGACAACAGGTGCTCACACAGGTTTGTGCTGAACATGGACAGCATCTGAGCAGCTTGACCACTTTGTTGTGTGTCGGGGAGGAAAAATAAAAACTACAGCAGCCACAGAGTCATGCTGATTTGAGCGTGTCGCTGCTCGCTGGAGTTATGTCAGCTCTGTCTGGAAGTTAGTTGGAAAACTTTCTCTTTCAGTCGTGAACACATTACTGAGCGGTTAAAATCTTCTTTTCTGGGCTTCAACGTCGGCAAATAGCTGAGAAAACTCGGCGGTGAGTGAGAGGAGTGTTTAGTTTGTCCGAGACAGCGGAGCTGCAGAGACACCGGCAGCAGACGCTGGAAAAAACACAAAGCAGGGGGCGCTTCGGCTCCGCGCTAACGCCGCAAAGCATCATGGGAGTTGTAGTCTTTGCGGTAAAATGGGCCAGCGGGTCAGTTTTAATATATTTTTGATATACATAAAAATGGCCTTGTGTCTGACACATGTGCATTAGGGACTTTTTATTTAGGATAGATACCTAAAGTGTCAACTTCTGTGATGCACTTGGTCTCCAGCTGTAAGTCTATGTCCTTTGGAACCGTCAGCGGTTTATTGTCAGTGTGACCATTGTACTTTCTGGAAACAAAAACACAAAGAAACTGTTTCAAACTTCAAGCACACACACAGCAACACAGAGAACAAAAGGTGACTTGGTAACTTTGATTTCAAAGTGGATCCAAATACATCAACCTTTTTCTCTGTTTCTGAATTTTCCACCTAAAAAAGAAAAAAATCTTACCTGTCTTTCCTCTTCGGGCCTTTCTGTTTCCCAGCCAAGTTCCTCAACTCATCCTCCGTAGGAGGCTGATACCACCGCAGACTATCAACAAAGCAACAAAAATGTTAATTTAAACAAAAGTAATGACAGAAGAGCATAAGGAGGACACAAAATCAAGTGTTACCTGCCACTGCACAGTAGCCATCTTGAAAAGGAATAATGAGGTAAAATTTTCTGAATTACACTGGCCATTACCATGGTAACCACCAGCTGCACACCAATCACACCCTGTGGGGAAAATATGTGTTTAAATAACACATTCTTGAGGAAAATATGTGTTTAAATAACAATTATGCATGCTATTGCTAGCATGTTAGGGACACACATAGTTAACCAGTTAATTGCTGTTAATGTTTTAACCGGGTAAACTAGGTTTTCCCAGTTAACTGCTTCAAGTCCTTCTGCTGCACTGGGTGCAATAGGGAACCTAAGTCAAGCCCATCTACTTCCTTATTTATACATTTTTATACCGAGAAAGTGCTTACTTTCAAACGAGGGAAACAGATTTTAGGTTTTGTTTGAAAATAAGTCCAGGACTACAGATGCGCTTCACGAAAGTGACATCATCGAACCAGACACGGAGAAAACTGAGGGAAACGGGCTGTAAGTTCAGCAAACTTCCCACAGGAGGAAAGAACCACCATAAATCAGGGGCTTCATTTATCATACCATACAATACATACCATGTTTATTTATATAGCACATTTAAAAACTGCATGACAGCTGACCAAAGTGCTGTACAGTAAAAAGGACAAACCCCAAGATAAAAACAGATAAAAGTCAAATAGGAGGTAAGAGGTAAAATCTAAAAAATTGTAAAAGAAACATACAACAATAAAATACAGAGTCACAGTAAAACTTAAATCACTAAAAGCTAGATCACTGAATAAAAGCTAAATGATAGAAGAAGGCCTTCAGTACCGACTTAAATCGACCCAGTTCTGGGGCCTGTTGAACACTAAGGGGGAGAGTATTCCAGAGTTTAGGAGCAGTGAACGCAGAGGCCTGCTCTCCACGAGATATATACCTCATTTTCAGGACGCACAAAAGCAAATGATCTGCAGATCTCAGGTTTCTGGTTGGAGCATAAGAAATTATCAGTTCTGAAAGATAAGCCGGGGCTTGACCATTCAGAATGTTGTAGACAAAGGTCAAAACCTTAAATTGGATGCGGTATTTAACAGGCAGCCAGTGCAAGCGTGCAAGGTCAGGTGAAATGTGACAGCGTCTCGAGATGTTTGTCAGGAACCTAGCCGCCGCATTTTGTACTCTCTGTAGATGCTCGATTGTTGAGATGCTGAAACCAACAAGAAGTGAGTTGGCATAGTCTAAACGTGTGGTTACAAAGGCGTGAACAACAGACTCCAGCTGAGGTCGTTTGACTATTGACTTTATGCGTGAGATGCAACGTAGTTGAAAAAAGCAGGACCGGACTGTAGAGTTAATCTGTGAACTCATTAACAGATCAGAGTCAAGTTTCACTCCCAGACTGGATACACAGGATTTAAGATTTAAAAACGGTAGAGGGAAGTCACCAGGTGCATGCATTGGATTTATTGGATTAAAAAGAATGGCATCGGTCTTGTTTTCGTTAAGGCAAAGGAAGTTCTCCGACAGCCAGCCTTTAAGTGCAGTAATAAAGTCGACAAGGAGGCGTGTTGAGTCAGGTTTACTTAAAGCCAGATAAATCTGGCAATCGTCCGCGTAAAGGTGATAACTTACTCCAGGGTTTGTCAGAATCATCCCCAATGGCAATAAGTAAATCGAGAATAGGAGTGGCCCTAGAATCGAACCCTGAGGCACACCCCAGTGAAGTGAAGTAGATGGAGAGGAAAAGCTGTCAATGTGAACACTAAATTGTCTATCTGACAAATATGATCTGAACCAATGAAGTGGGATCCCTGTTACCCCCAACCTCCTCTCCAACCTCCTAAGTAGGATGTCATGGTCCACTGTGTCGAAGGCAGCAGAGAGATCCAGGAGTAACAGAAGGACATGGGAACCAGAATCAGTTGCCACCAGGAAATCATTTAATACACGAAGATATGCAGTTTCTGTGCTGTGATGAGGTCTAAAGCCAGACTGAAAGTGATCGAGGAGGCTATGATCTCATAAGTAACTGGAAAGTTGAGTGTGAACTAGTTTCTCAATAATCTTGGATAAAAACGAGAGTTTGGAAATCGGACGATAATTAGAAAAATCAGTATGATCCAGGCCAGTTTTTTTCAGTAAAGGGTGTACAACTGCATTCTTAAAGGTGGTTGGAAACACTCCAGTCGAAATGCTGTTGTTGACGATTTCCAAAATAAATGGCGCCAGCACAGGAAGAGTGCCAACTAGTAATTTTGGTGGGAGGGGGTCCTCTGGAGAAGCAGAGGGTTTCATGGACCTGACCAGCTCCTCCAGATCTTGAAGAGACAACAGTGTAAAATTAGAAAATTGACTTAGACAGACTGGTTCCTCAATGGTGAGCTGACCCAATGGCAAGATGCTTGACCTAATATTCTGAATTTTAAGCTGAAAAGACTTCATAAACTCGGTACAAAGGGACGTCGTTGGCACTGAGGGTGTAGTTGCATCTTTTAAAGAGAGAACCTAATTAATGGTACTAAATAGTTTACGTTGATCACCAAGATGTGGTGTGATTATATTACTAAAGAAGTTATTCCTGGCGGTTCTCACCACTTTCTGATACAAAAATAGAGAATCTTTCAAAATTTGTAAGGAAATTTCTAAATTGTCCTTTTTCCATTTGCGTTCATGAGATCTACACTGGCGTTGAAGAGCTCGAGTGTTGTCATTAAGCCAGGGATCAGAAACAAACTTTTTTCTCTGGCTTTTAAGAGGAGCAGCAGAGCTAAGAGCAGCCGAGCACACAGTATTGAAGGTGGTCACCATATCATCTACTTCCATGCATTTAGACCTGTGTAAAATGGTTGAAAAGCCATCCGCCAGACCAGATGATAACAGAGTGAGAGTAGATGGCGAAATACACCTGATGTAATGACGTGCTTGATATCTTACAGTGGAAGGTGTCAAATCACAAATACTGAAAAAAAAATTGGAAAATGATGTGAAAAAAAAAGGGTTCACTGAAAGATCAGAAAATGAAATTCCAATAGATAAAACTAAGTCCAGGATGTGAGAGCGATCATGGGTAGACTCCTTAACCAGTTGCTGGGGCCAAAAGAGTCCAAAATGTCCATGAACTCCCTCACCAAAGGCCTTGCAGGACAACAAATGTGAATATTAAAATCGCCAAGGATAATCACTCTATCACATTTCGGAAGAAACTCTGCTAAGATGTCAGAAGATTCATTAAAAAAGTTAGAATTGTACTTTGGTGGGCGGCAACAAAGTAAGAACAGCACTGGGGAGCTAAAATCCAGCTCAAAAAGTGATAATTCAAAGCTACTAGGAGTCACAGAGGCCGAGAGTTGTTTCAGATGGAGGGTAGAATCAAACAAAGTTAGTAGGCCCCCACCACGACCGGAAAGTCTAGGCACATTGAGCACTGAACAGTCCGAAGGACAAAGTTCAGAGAGAGCAGCCGACTCACAAGGCGCAACCCAGGACTCCGTCATGCAGAACAGGTTTAGCTTGTGATCGACAAAATAATCCTTTAAAATGGCTGTTTTATTTCCAATTGAACGTATATTCTGGAGAGCAACCCTAAGGAGTGGTGCGAGCTCCGAGCAGATTGATTGGAAGGACGGGGCAGCATCGTCCAGCATTGGGTAGCTCAGGTTAGCAGAGTTAACACTGTCACCACGCCACCGCCTCCGGACACGCCCCACGCGCCGGCCCACACAGACTGGAATCCACTCGCCGATGTCCCTGGAAGAGAAGGATGAGGGACTCCATGGATGATCCAAAAGCTGCAGCGGGTCCGATCTCCAAGGCTGGAATGCAGAAGTGGCCCTAAGACTTGCTTGGTGCCCCCCTCGCTTGCCCCATCTGCGATGTCTCCTTCGCAGCCACGCTGGAGACTGTGGGCGGAGGAGGAATGCCGGGAACGCAGCAAACAGAGGGATGAAAGTTTTCCCAAACCTACTGCCTCGGAGATCTACGGAACTCAATGCCTGACGAAGATCCAGAAGGGTGAGTCGATCATAGGTAATATTTGAACTAGAAACCACCAGCAGACAGCTTGGGAACAGAAAAAACAACAAAATAAGCAGGAAGAGTAGACGGCAGGCCAAAATCACAGGCGCCATCATGAAAGCTTGCTTACGCTCAAAACGGGGTCGGAAAACTGCATAAGCAACTTTCCACGGAAACTTTGGGATTTATGAAAGAAAACTTAGTGGAAAAATGTGTGCAACTTTAAGTTGACTAAGGGCCTTGCTTATGCACATTTTGGACATGGAGAGCACCTGCAGTGCTGCTGCTGGGAAGGATAACATTTTGAAATCCTGCAGCATCATCACTTGTATTGCTTCGTTTTCACCATCGACATATATACTGGACAGAGATGCGCCGAGCTGCGTGGAGGGGAGAACCACAAACCGGCCGGTAGAGCTGTAGCGAAGCCTCGATGACGTCGACGGCTCGACTGTTCCGGGTCTTCGGTATTTGGCGGAGATGTTAGTGAAGGTGGAGAAGAGGGCGAACTAGAGGAAAAACAGGCAGATTCCTCCTCTATTTACAAACTCCTGGGGATGCAACAAGTGGGCGCGGTGCGTCGACTTCCGGATCTGACGTCGACAAATTTTTAGAATCGAGCCGCCGACGTCGTCGAGGCTTCGCTACAGCCCTACAGATCTCCCTTTTATTACATTTAGAGTGTTGTGGGTTTTCGGTTTAGTGTAAAATATCACCTGAGTTTGGTTTAACCACCCAGTTTAGAGTTTGGACTTTTGGAGATCCTTATTTTGGTCCAGAACCCTGTAATCTTTGCCCAGTGGGACATCCCTACTTATTTGTACTTTGTTTTAATTCCCCACAGGCAGAATTAGTTTTATTATTCCCAACCTGTGGATGGAAAGATTTATGATTTTTGTTGTTGTAAATAAACCTGATAATCATTTTAACTTTTAAATCCCGTTATTGTCCCTTCCTTTTTGCACACGAACCAAACTCCCCAGGAAGAGTCGTAACACCACTCGCCTCACGCTCATAAGTGACCAAAACAAAGCAGCATGGAGACACTCCGTCTCCAACCACCTCTCAGGCAGCAGCCTGCTCTCCCAAGTTCTACACGTCACCAGAACATAACCAACCGCAAC